ATAGATAAAAATTTAATAAAAGTGTTTTTTCTAATTAAGAATTGTCATAAATCAATTCAGAGAATATCATAACAAAGCAACATTTATATTTTGTGGGTATATTTAGTGTCATCAAACACTAAAACTTAACACCAATTAATGAAGCTGCACAAAAAAAGACTTGAGATACCTTTTTTTTTCCGATCAAAACATTTGAGATACTATTCCACTAACTTAATTGGGCTTCTTATGGGCCCAAAACGTCGCCGTTTTAAAGTTAATAAGACCAAAACCCTTAAAAACCCCCCACCCTTGCATCTTCTTCACTATCTTTCAAACCTCCAAACCTGTCTTTGACAAAATCTACTTCCGTCTTGTCTTAATTCTGATCAGAATCAAATTACAGAGCAAAGAACCATGGCGGCATCTAAAAAAGGCGGCGATTCGAAAAGTGGACAAGCTTTAGATGAAGAGAATCTTGTCTTCGAAACGACCAAAGGGATCAAACCCATCACTAGTTTCGACGATATGGGTATGAACGATAAAGTTCTTCGTGGTGTTTACGACTACGGTTTCAAGAAACCTTCAGAGATTCAACAGAGAGCTGTAATGCCGATTCTCAAAGGAAGAGATGTTATAGCTCAGGCTCAATCTGGTACCGGTAAAACCTCCATGATTGCAATCTCCGTTTGCCAAATCGTCAACACTTCTTCAAGAAAGTATGTTCCTTTTTCCCTCTAAGATCGAAAAACGTAAACTTTAAAGTTAAAATTCAAATTTCCAATTTAGGGTTTCATTACAATTGGGGATTTGATCTCTGTTCTAAAAGGGCCAATTCGTTAGAGTTACATGATTAATGATCTGGTTTTGTGGTTTAAGATGAGGAACACTTACTTGGTTTTACATAATTGGTGATCTTTTGCTCTGTAATGATCGAAAAACGTAAACTTTAAAGTTTAATTTCAGATTTCCAATTTAGGGCTTTATTACAATTGGGGATTTTGTGTCTGTTCTAAAAGGGTAAATTCGTCAAGAGTTTCATGATTAATGATCTGGTTTTGTGATTAGTATGAGGAACACTTGCTAATCCACTTGTATTTACATAATTGGTGATCTTTTGCTCTGTAATTGACTTGGTATTGATCTTTGAGGAAGCTTTATTTAAGGTTTGGTGTTGTTTGTTTCGGTCTCAAGGATTCAGGTTTTGGTTTTGTCTCCATCAAGAGAATTGGCTTCACAAACAGAGAAGACGATACAAGCAATTGGAGTGCATACTAATATTCAGGCACATGCTTGTATTGGTGGTAAGAGCATTGGAGATGACATCAAGAAGCTGGAGCGTGGTGTACATGCTGTGTCGGGTACACCTGGTCGTGTCTACGATATGATAAAGAGAGGAAGCTTACAAACTAAAGCTGTTAAACTTTTGATTCTTGATGAATCTGATGAAATGCTTAGCAAAGGTTTGAAAGACCAGATTTATGACGTTTATCGATCTCTTCCACATGATATTCAGGTTTGATTGTTTGAATAGTAGTAATTGGTTAATCGTAGTTTCTTGGCTGTTTGTTACACTTAAATCTAAGACGATTTGGTTTACTAGGTCTGCTTGATTTCTGCTACTCTTCCTCAAGAGATTTTGGAGATGACGAATAAGTTTATGACGGATCCTGTGAGGATACTTGTGAAGCGTGATGAGTTGACTCTTGACGTATGCCATTTTTATGCTTAACTCGTGATTTAACCATCAAAATCAAAAGCATAAATTTACAACATTTAGTGTCCACTTTTCAGGGTATCAAACAATATTATGTTGATGTTGGGGAAGAAGAGTGGAAGTTCGATACACTTTGCGATCTTTACGGGAGGCTTATTATTAATCAAGCTATTATCTTCTGCAACACAAGAAAAAAGGTAAACTCGATTACTTAACGATACAGAACAAAACAAAAGCTTTATAGTTATGTTATGTTGATGATCTTAAAGCTTGTATCTGCATCATCTTATATATAATAATAAGGTGGATTGGCTTACTGAGAAGATGAGGAGTAGTAATTTCATAGTTTCATCAATGCATGGAGACAAACATCAAAAGGAGAGAGACGAAATCATGAACCAGTTTCGGTCATTTAAAAGCCGTGTTTTAATCGCCTCTGATGTATGGGCACGAGGGATCGATGTTCAAACTGTATGATCTTTCTCCCTCTTGGTCTTTTAACTATCAAAATTCTTTAAAAAAAAATTCACATTAGAAATCTTTATGTACTAGGTTTCTCATGTCATCAATTACGACATACCTAATAATCCGGAGCTTTACATTCATCGTATCGGACGAGCTGGTCGTTTTGGTCGCGAAGGTGTTGCGATTAACTTTGTGAAAAGTTCCGACATGAAGACTCTCAAAGACATTGAGCGGTACTACGGTACTCGAATCCGCGAGATGCCAGCTGATCTTGCCTAAAGAACCAGTTTTTGTTTCCTTGAAGTAGACGTTAAAGAATCAGTTTTAAGGCCAGTTTTGTTCTAGAGCCAAAATGTATTATTACTTTCAGTCATTTCTCTTTGTAACAACCTAACATATATCATTGTAGTTAATTATTGAATTTGAAAAATCCATAACAATGTTTATTTTGGCTAAAGGGTTAAGTGTTGAAAGCAAAAAAAAACTGTTAAAATTCGGTTTGGTTCGGTTTAGAGTGAAATTGCAGAAATGTTTGGTTCGGGTTAAGTCCGGTTTGACAACTCATAGCTTCGTCGGTATACACGGACAGAGGTCTCTCTCTCTCTCCGATCGCCATTTCCACGTTATACGTAAGCTTCTCTTTCTCCGGCCGATTTACGATTTTCCGACGAAGAGGAACGGAGATCATGAAAGGGATTTCGAAGCTTCTTCTCTATTCTTTTTCGCGACACAGAGCTCGCGAGATCTTCTCTGTAAATTGGGTATCTTTTTCTCTTCTGATATCACGTCGGCCACTGTTTATATCGGCGGCCACAAACTTTCCGGCGAGTTCCTGGGATAGCCAGAAGAGTTATACTCGTAAATCTTCGAAATCTTCTTCCTTTCCCCAGAAATCGATCTCTTTTGGAGGTATGGTATATTTCTGGGTCATTGTTCTTCGCAAGAGAAATTTAGGAATCCTGATTCTCTCTCTTTCTCATGAATTAGTTTCTTCAAGCATTTCACAAAGTTAGAGTTTTTACTTGAGAGATGAATGGAAATTTTGGAAAAGTTTATGGCTTTGAAGTTTCTTCTAATTAACTGAGATTATGAATATTCTGTTTAACTGTTTTGGTTGGCAGTGCAAAGGAGGACAATGTTTATACAAACACAATCAACACCAAACCCTTCTTCTCTAATGTTTAATCCTGGTAAACCAGTAATGGAGATTGGAAGTGCAGATTTCCCTAATGCTCGTTCAGCTATGAGCTCACCTTTGGCCAAAGCCATTTTCGATATCGATGGTATGGTACTTTCTTCGGCTTTTTGCTATATACGTATGTTCTGTGTTTTTCGGTGAGGAAGACTAATGTGTTAACTCTCTCTTGATGTAGGTGTAGTTAGAGTTTTCTTTGGGTCTGATTTTGTTACTGTAACAAAGTCAGATGATATAACATGGGATATCCTCAAGCCTGAAGTATTTGCAGTTGTAATGGATTTTTACTCTTCTGGTCAGTCTTTGTTTCTGGACTCACAAGCTTCAGCTGCCACGGATACCGCCGTTCACGAGGTAAATCCATTTCTCTCTTTGGGCTCTTATATTGAGAGTTTATGTGGTTTGTAAGTGTTGATTGTTTATCCTTTATTTGGAAATTGTGTGATTCAGGATGACTCTGAAACTGTAGCAATGATTAAGGAACTCTTGGAGACGCGTATCCGACCATCAGTCCAAGATGATGGAGGGGACATTGAGTATTGTGGATTTGATACGTAAGTTTTTTTCTACGAGTTATATAGCAGATGCTTAAAGACGATCTGCTTCTTCTTTGTTTATAGGATCTTTATCGAAGCTTATATGTTTTGATCAGGGAAACTGGTATAGTTAAGCTTCGAATGCAAGGAGCTTGTAGCGGTTGTCCAAGTTCATCTGTTACTTTGAAATCAGGAATCGAGAATATGCTGATGCATTATATATCCGAGGTAAGCTGATAACGAGAGATCCTAACATTTAAGCATTTCTATTATGTCGTCACTCTTATCATGTATTCTATAGTCAAACATGATAACTCACCAATGCGTTTGTGCAAAACACAGGTTAAAGGCGTTGAGCAAGAATTCGATGGTGAAGAGGAGCGAACATCGTCGGGCCCAATGGAGTAGAGTAACTTGAAATGTGTTAGCTTATCTTCAATATACAGAAGAAGAATAAAACCAGAGGTACATTAGTCTTGTCTTCTCCTGAACCTTGCAGCTTCAGAAAACTTTATGAACTATTGAGAACTCATGGAATTGTCTGATAATTGAAATTTTAATGGATTATACGGTTCTTGTTGCCTAAGTAACGTTTTGTAGTTTAGAAGTAGAAACTCTTTGTCTTTGCTGATTGTAAGTTCACTCGGATTTCACGGTATTCGACTGCATCAATGGACGATTCAAGTACATAACAAACGTTTTTTTTTATGTTGATCACATTATGATTACATACCAAACTTAGATAATTTTACCGACACGAAAACAGAGACAAGGATTGGTAATATAGCGAACTCAGTTACGGCAAATCCTAGCCGTAGGCATTGTGACACATACAGGAGCATACTTCTTCTTAGCTGCTTCTGTTCCTCTTTTCGGTTCTTCGTCCGCCATTGCTACTTTAGCTAAAGAGCACACAGCCGTAGCTGCAGCAGTAAACACTAGATCCCTCCTCATCTTCATGCTTTGTTCTTGCTTCTTGTTCTCCAAGATACTTGTGTTCTCGCTCGCGGAGGCTTTGATCACCGTGAAGCTTCGTCTTTTGTTGTACCCGGAGATGGTTACCGGAATCTTTGTGATCGCTGGGATGGTCATTGAAGCCATTTGCAAAGTCGTAAGTTGATTCCACACGTGTGATCTCTTCTTAATCTCTCTGTTTCTTTGTTTATCTGATGAGTTTTGGTGAATGATTTTGTGTTTAAGTAGTTGAGGAATTATGATCCATTTCCTTATCCAAAACATGAATTTAGAGCAAATGGGTATTTGCCACGTGTTCTTGTGCTATCTGTTTTTTGCAGAGAAGAAATTTGTGGTGGTTGAATCTTTAAGTAGCTTTCTTGTAAAGAACACTGTAGAAGTTTTTTTCTGTTCTATGCAGATTTTGGGTCCATTTTTGGTTAGGAAGACGGTAATTAATCTTGATTTCTTCAATAAAAAATTAATTTTTTTTGTTTAAACGAAAATAAATATTGATATATTTTGTATAAAAGATATGTAGTGAAACACCAAACATGATGCACAAGTAACATCACTAAACGAATCATCTATAACAAGGTGAAAATATTGAACTTACTTTATTTGTAAAACTAGAAGTATAGAACAATAATTCATATTTTCTTGTCCTTTGAGCTAGTTATGTTTTTTCTTTAAATTAAATTAAAAACATACCAAAAATATTCTTACACTTCAAAATTCTACATTATTACGTTTATTACGCTTTCAAAATAAACTGAGAATTTTCAAAAAATATCACTTTTCAACTGTCATTTTACAAAAATGTTACATTTTTGAAATCTTTACAAAAATACCACTTTTTCAAAATTATTTTTTCTTTATATTATTTATGTTTGGGTTAATTATATTCTATTAGGGTTTAGTTACGAGGGTTTAGGGTCAAAACATTTTTTAGTG